CAAGAATTAAATTATTTTTTATAAATATATTTTAAATTCTTTCATATAAATAATAAAATTCGATGCAGGAATTCAATCTATTATCAGAATAAGAAAGAAGTGAATATTTTTGATGAAAATTAGGAAAAAGTCAGGAAAATAAAAAATATGGAATGGAATTTTTGTCAATTTTGTTTGTTTTTTTTTTTGGTTTTTTTGACAATAAAAGAAATGACAATGACTCACAAAAATTAATTTTCAAAACAAACAAATAAATGCAAAGAATTTGCTAACGGCAAGGAAACTTACGATTTGTATGTTATAATTATTTTTATTTTATAATTAATTCAAAAGTGTTATGAAAAATAGAAATCACCGGATTTTTTTACACTTCTTTTCATTAAAAGACTAAAATTTTGTTAAATATTATATTTTGTCAAATTGAAATTATTTTTGTTCTTTACTTCTAAAGAAAATAAAAAAATTGTTAAACAACTGTAACTAAGAAATAGAAAATTTATTTATTTTCCATTATTTTTGTTTATGAATAACAATTTTTTTAACAAAATTATTATTTTGTTTTAGAAAAACAAGAAAAATATTTGCATATAATTTCTATTTTTAATCTTATTTTTGGAACAGGATTTTCCACAGGAATTAAGAAATTCAAAAATTTCAAATTCAAACCTTTTTTAAATTAAACAACGTATAAAAGTATTTTGTTATAAAACATGAAGATATCGATTGCTCCGAGTCAAAGACTCGGAGTGATCGATTTCTTCATGTTTTATAATAATTAAATTTTTTTGCTTCAAGTAAATAAGTTTGGACCATTTCTATTTTTCAATTACGATTTTTTTTTAAAAAAAAGGGAATTTTTATTTTATAAATTCAATTTTTCAATCACAATTTTAAAAAAATTGTGAGAATTTTAAAAGAGTTTTAGAATATTGGAAAAATTTTTTATAATTTTAATTTGTCTATCAAATTTTTTTCACAGAAATTTTTAGAATTTTTTTGCATAATTTCTATTTATTAAAAAAAATCACAAAATTATTTTTCTAATAAGTATTAATTATTTATTACTTTTTTATGAGCTATATAGTTTTTTTCTCTGTATTATATTTTTTTGTATTAATTCAATAAAATATTAATTTAAAAAAATTATTGATTTTATTTATAAACGAGAAAGAATAATTTTGCAAATTTTTTTCCTTATTTGAAATATAGTTTTTTAGTTAAATAATCTTTAACGTCCGAGATCCTTTATAAATTAAGGCAAATTTGAAAATTATATAACACAATTTTTAAGTATTTTGTTCAAAATTACAAAATGTGCAGAATTTTTTTTTTTAATTACGATTTTAAAAAAAAATTCCGAATTTTTTGAACTAAAGAAAAAATAGCATAATTTCTATTTTATAATTATGTTTGTTATCGTACAGTAATTAATTGCTAATATTAATTAATGTTAATTTTTAAGGAATTCTTACCTAATAATTGTTACTTAAAAGACAATTACTCAAAGTTAACATAAATTTAATGTCAATAGAAAATAAAAAGTCGCATTATTTTTTCCTTTTCATCTATTAAAAAAAAAAAAATGTTGAGACCTTCGAAAATTAATTAAATTTTCATTTTTTCTGTTATTGTATCTTATTTCCTTATTCGATCATGTAAAACACATTTTTTTTTGCAAAGAAAAGGGTCATTTCTTTTAGAAAAGTTTTCTTTCTTAACAAAAAGAATTTTTTACTAGAATAAAAACAAAAAAGGGCCCGAGGTAAGAAAATATAAAATTATTTTCTCATTGTTTGGAAACGTTTCTCTTGCTCGCGCGACAAAAGGGAAGAAACCTATTTGTTTACTTATTGTTCGCATTACATTCTGAGAATATGTGGGAGAAAAAAAACGAGTATAGGCAATATTAAAAATGAAAGAATCGAAGAAAATATTATGTGATAAGTCATGCATATACATATAGTTTGTAGTACCTTAACCCACTTTTCATAAACTTCCGCTCGTACCCGCTAAATATGTTGGGTGTTAATAGTTGCAAAAAAAAGCCATCTATTGTAAGCTAATAATAATCCATTTTTTTTTCGCTCCTTTATACGATATTATTTCTTTTCATTTGGTTTTTTTTCCTTTGCACTTAGTATAACAATGCTGATTTTGAAAATAATTATTTATACATGTGCACACGAATGTTTGTATTTAGAATTATTTTTGCGTTTCACTGTTTTCTTTAACAATAGATCTTTGTGAGTAAAAATTTAACGGTATTTCTTTTTATAGCTTTTTAATTAATAATAATAAAATGTTTACGTTTTTCCTACTAGTGTTGCCTAACCCGAAAAATGATTATATGATGATGAAACGTTAATTTTTATTTATTCTTTAGTTTCTTATTCTTTATTTATTTATAATTTATTATTTTTAATTACTATTATTTTTGTTAATTATTATTTATACTTAATTACTTATTACTATTTATATTTACTATTATTTTTATTTTTTATTATTTATAAATTACTATTATTTTTATATGTATTATTTATTTATTATTATTTATATTCAAATAATTTATTTATTCGTTTATTTCTCAAATTAAAATTTTTTTTTCTATTTTCATTAAAAATTTTTTTTTTTAACATAATTTATTTGTTTCTATTTATTTATTCGCCTATTTCTCAAGCAGAATTTTTTTTTCTATTTTCAAAAATTTCTTTCAATTATTTATTTGTTTCTATTATTATTTATTCGTCTGTTTCTCTTACCGAGTTGTTTCTTTTTTCATTGAAAATTTTGATTCTGTTATTTATTATTTTTATTTTATAATTTTTCTAAAAAGGAAATTTTTTTTTGATAAGTTTGACAAAAATCTTTATTAAAATTCAATTATTTTTATAAATATAATAAATTTCTTCACAAGACACAATTATTTTCATAAATAATAGAATTCTTTGGAAGAATTCAATTTTTGTTATAAAATAATAAAATTTTAGCAAGAATTCAATTGTTCAAATTATTATCAATACAATTTTAATCTAAAATTTCTCAAAAGAATTCAATTAGTTTCAAACATTTTAATAAAATTCTGTGCAAAACACTTTAATTATTTATTTCATTTATACAACTGTTTACTACACATAAATATTAATAATATTCCTTGCACAAATTCAATTATTTTCAAAAATTAAAATTTCTTTTCAAAAATTAATTATTTTGAAAAATATTTTTTAAATTCTTTGAAACAATTCAATTATTTTCAAAAAAATGTAATCAAATTCGTCGCAAGAATTGAATTATTTACAGAAGATATAAAATTTTTCGATGGAATTCAATTATTTTCTTTACAATTTTAATGAAATTTCTGCATAGAATTAAATTACTTTTCAAAAAATTTAATAATTATTCTTCACCAAAATTCAATTAATTTTAATAATTTTTATAACATTCTTCACCAGAATTCAATTATTTTAATAAATAATAAGATTGTTTGGAAGAGTTCAAAATTATTTTCAAAAATTTTGATAAAATTTAATTATTTGATTTAATTATTTCTAAAACATTTTAAATTTAATTTCTTTAAAATTTTAATTTATAATTAAATGATTATTTTTAATACAATATTAATAATAATCTACAATTTCTTTAATTAATAATAATCGTTGAAAAAATTCAATTATTTTCAAAATTAATACAATTTCAATAAAAAAAAATTTATTTGGAATTCATTTATTTTTAATTAAATTATTTTCAAAGATTTCTTTAAAATTTCTTTAAAAAAATTAATTGTTTTGAAAATTTTTCTGAATATTCTTTGAAGCAATTCAATTATTTTTATAAAAATGTAATCAAATTCGTCGCAAGAATTGAATTATTTACATAAGTTATAAAATTTTTTGGAGGAATTCAATTATTTTCTTTACAACAATTTTAATAAAATTTCTGCATAGAATTAAAATACTTTCAAAAATTTTAATAATTATTCTTCACCAAAATTCAATTATTTTTATAAATTTTATAACATTCTTTACCAGAATTCAATTATTTAAAATTTTAATAATTAATAAAATTCTTTGGAAGAGTTCAATTATTTTTAGAAATAATTAAGTTTTTTAGAAAAATTTAATTATTTTCAATAAAAAAATTTGTTTTTGGAATTCAATTATTTTCAAAAATTTTGATAAAATTTGCTTTTTTGATTTAATTATTTTTAAAACATTTGAAATTAATGTCTTTAGAATTTTTATTTGAAATTCAATTATTATTTTTAATACAATATTAATAATATTCGTTGAAAGAAATCAATTATTTTCATAAATAGTAGGGAATAGAATTCTTCGGAAGAATTCAGTTATTGTCATAAATATTAAAATTCTTTGTAAGAATTCAATTATTTTTATAAAAATGTAATCAAATTCATCGCAAGAATTGAATTATTTTCATAAGTTATAAAATTTTTTGGAGGAATTCAATTATTTTCTTTACAATTTAAATAAAATTTCTGCATAGAATTCAATTAATTCTTAAAAATTTTATTAAAATTTTGTGAAAATTCGTTTCTATTTTTAATTATTTATTTATCATTTCTCCAACGCTAATTTCTTTTTATTTTAATTAAAAAAAGTTGCTTCGATTATTAACTTATTTTTCAAACGGTACTTTCTTTTTAATCGCCTCCAAAAAACTGTTTCTATTTTTTCTATAATAAGAAAAATAATAATAATAATAATAATAATAATAATAATAAATAATAAGAAAAATAAGAAAACAAAAAATAAAATGAAAATTAAAAGAGATTTTATTTTACAATAAAAAAAAATATTGTTGTTGATTTTATTTGGAAGTTTTCGATTTTTTCAAAATTGAATTTAAAAAAATTATTCTTTTTTTCTTGCACAAAAACGAAAAGGAGAAACATTTGAATAACATTGGATGAAGTTGATTGGTTACCAGGAGTGACGAAACAAATGACTTGTTGTTAATCAGGTGAATCAAAATTTTTTTTGCTCCACTCTTCTTGGAAATGTTAAAAAGTTTAATCGGAAATCAACGACTGCAAATTATCATTTAATTTTTATTAAACGAAGTGTGTTTTGTGATTAGAAAAAAGAAAAATGCGTGAAATTGCCCATTTACAGGCGGGCCAATGTGGCAATCAAATTGGTGCGAAGGTAAGAAATAAATTCATGAAAAATCCTAGGAATATTATAGAAAATATTAAAAACAATAATTTCCAAAAAAGTGTTATTAAAAAAAAAAAAATTTTAAGAATAGAAAATAATTGAAAAATTGAGAAATTATAAAAAAGTAAAAATATATTTTAATGCTTATAAATAGAGTGAATTTTTTTTTGCAAAATAAAAATAAATAATAATAAAAAAATATAAAAAAATATTCACAGAATATTAAAAAATGATTAAAAAAATAAAACAGTAGGAAATATATTTTATTTTAATGATTATAAATGGAGTAAATTTTTTTAATACCAAAAAAAAAAGCCTATTATATTTTTTTACAAACGGAAAATTAAAAAAAGTTTAATTTTAATTTCTGTAAATTTTAATAATTTTAATAATTTTTATACCTACTTTTTTAAATTTTAATAATTTATATATATATTTTTTTAATTTTAATAAAATAATTTCGTAAACTACATAAATTCTTTTTTTTCTTCAGTTTTGGGAAGTAATATCGGATGAGCATGGAATCGATCCAACGGGAACGTATCACGGAGACTCGGATCTTCAATTAGAGAGAATTAATGTCTATTATAATGAAGCAACCGGAGGAAAATATGTACCGCGAGCAATTCTCGTCGATTTGGAACCGGGCACAATGGATGCTGTCAGATCTGGACCATTCGGTCAAATATTCCGCCCGGACAATTTTGTTTTCGGTCAAAGTGGAGCCGGAAATAATTGGGCGAAAGGACATTACACCGAGGGTGCCGAATTGGTTGATTCCGTTCTTGATGTCGTTCGCAAGGAAGCCGAGAGCTGCGATTGCTTGCAAGGTAATTTGAAAAAAAAAAATTTTTTTTGAATTAACATTTTTTGAATTAACTATCTAATTACATAATTTTCTAATATTCTTCTTCTAATTAAGAATCTCTGAGAAGAATTTAACTATTTTTATAAAAATAAATGAATTCTTCCAAAGAATTTTATTGTTTATGAAAATAGCTGAATTCTTCCGAAAAATTTTATTTCCTACTATTTATGAAAGTAATTGAATTCTGATGAAGAATTAAAAAAAAAAATTTTTAAATAATTGCATTTCTGAGAAGAATATAATTTATGAAAATAATTCAATTCTTTCGACGAATTTGATTCAAATTTTTTTTAATTAATTGAACCGTTTCAAAGAATATCTAAAAAAATTTTCAAAATAATTAATTTTTTTAAAGAAATTTTTGAAAATAATTGAATAAACAAATAAATTCCTGATAAGAATTTCTTATTTAAATTTTATTGAAAATAATTGACTTCTTTCAAAAAATTTAAATATTTCTAAAAATAATTGAATTTTTGAACAGAATTTTCTTAAAATTTTTTTAAATAATTGAATTCTATGCAAAAATAAATTATTTAAATAATGCAATTTTTGCGACGAATTTGATTACATTTTTTTTTAAACAATGAAATTGTTTCAAAGAATTTAAAAAAATTTTTCACAAAATTAAATTTTTTAAAGAAATTTTAATTTTTGAAAATAATTGAATTCTTTCAACGAATTTTATTGTTTATAAAAATAACTGAGTTCTTCCAAAGAATTTTATTCCCTACTATTTATGAAATTAATTGAATTTTGGTGAAGAATTGAAGAAAATTTTTTTTTAATAATTGGATTTTTGAGAAGAAGAATATAATTTATGAAAATAATTCAATTCTTTCTACGAATTTGATTCAATTTTTTTTTTAATTATTCAATCGTTTTAAAGAATATTTAAAAAAAATTTTCATAACAATTAATTTTTTATGAAATTTTAAAGAAATTTTTGAAAATAATTTAATTAAAAATAAATAAATTCTTAACATTTTTTTTATTGAAATTGTATTCAAAATAATTGACTTCTTCAAAAAAATTTAAATATTTCTAAAATAATTGAATTTTTGAATTGAATTTTATTAAAATTTTTAAAAATAATTCAATTCTGTGCAGAAATAATAACTTATTTAAATAATTCAATTTTTGCGACGAATTTGATTACATTATTTTGAAAATAATAGAATTGTTTCAAAGAATTTAAAACAAATTTTTCAAAAAACTATATTTTTTAAAGAAATTTTAATTTTTGAAAATAATTGAATTCTTTCAACGAATTTGATTCAATTTTTTTTTTAAATAATTCAATTGTTTTAAAGAATATTTAAAAAATTTTTAAATAATTTTTCATAACAATTAATTTTTTATGAAATTTTAAAGAAATTTTTGAAAATAATTTAATTAAAAATAAATAAATTCTTAACATTTTTTTCATTGAAATTGTATTCAAACTAATTGACTTCTTCCAAAAAATTAAAATATTTCTAAAAATAATTGAATTTTTGCATAGAATTTTCAAAAAAAACTTCTGGTGAAAAATTAAAAAAAAATTTTTTAATAATTGCATTTCTGAGAAGAAGAATGTAATATTTGAAAATAATTGAATTCTTTCAACGAATATTATTAATTTTGTATTAAAAATAATAATTGAATTTCAAATAAAAATTCTAAAGAAATTTAATTTTAAATATTTTTAAAATAATTAAATCAAATAAGCAAATTTTATCAAAATTTTTGAAAATAATTAAATTCCAAATATAAATTTTTTATTGAAAATAATTGAATTTCTCCAGAAAACTTAATTATTTCTAAAAATAATTGAATTTATAAAAACAATTTTATTAAAATTTTTGAAAATAATTTTGAACTCTTCCAAAGAATCTTATTATTTATTAAAATAATTGAATTCTGTTGAAGAATGTTATAAAAATTTATAAAAATAATTGAATTTTGGAAAGAATATTATTAAAATTTTTGAAAGTTATTTAATTCTATACAGAAATTTTATTAAAATTGTAAAGAAAATAATTGAATTCCTCCGAAAAATTTTATAACTTATGTAAATAATTCAATTCTTGCGACGAATTTGATTACATTTTTATAAAAATAATTGAATTGTTTCAAAGAATATTTAGAAAAACTTTCAAAACAATTAATTGTTTAAAAGAAATTTTAATTTTTGAAAATAATTGAATCAAATAAGCAAATTTTATCAAAATTTTTGAAAATAATTGAATTCCAAATACAAATTTTTTATTGAAAATAATTGAATTTCTACAAAAAAACTTAATTATCTCTAAAAATAATTGAACTCTTTCAAAGAATCTTTTATTAAAATAATTGAATTTTGGTAAAGAATAATTATTAAATTTTTTGAAAGTAATTTAATTCTATGCAGATATTTTATTAAAATTATTTTAAAGTAAATAATTGAATTCCTCCAAAAAATTTTATAACTTATGTTAATAATTCAATTCTTGCGACGAATTTGATTACATCTGTTTGAAAATAATTGAATTGTTTCAAAGAATTAAAAAAATTTTTTCCAAAAAATTAATTTTTTTAGAAATTTTAATTTTTGAAAATAATTGCTGTCGTGCAAGGAATATTATTAATATTGTATTAAAAATAATAATTAAATTCCAAATACAAATTTTTGATTAAAATTGTATTGAAAATAATTGAATTTCCCTAAAAATATTTCATTATCTCTAAAAATAATTGACTTTTTGCAAATAATTTTATTAAAATTTTTGAAATTATTTAAATTCTTTTGAGAAATTTTTTATTAAAATTGTATTGATATTAATCTAAACAATTAAATTCTTGCTGAAATTTTATTATTCATTACAATAATTGAATTGTTACGAAAATTTTTTATTATTTCTAAAAATAATTGTGTCTTCTGAAGAAATTTATTATAATTATGAAAATAATTGAATTATTATAAAGATTTTTGTCAAACTTTTTGAAAAAAATTAAATTCTTGAACGAGTGAAACATTTGTTATTTAAAAATTAGAAATTAATTTATAACAAAATTCTTTAACGCCCTTGTAGTTTTAACAATAAGATAACAGATAATAAATAAGAAATAAATTAATTAATAGTTAATAATTATAAATTTAATTAATAATTAATAAAAAAATTAAATATTAAAAATTGAAAATTAAAAATTGAAAGCTCGAAATAAGAAAACTAAAGTAAAAAAAATTGTCTTGAACAGGATTTCAATTAACACATTCGCTGGGCGGTGGAACTGGCGCCGGAATGGGAACGCTATTAATTTCAAAAATACGCGAAGAATATCCCGACAGAATAATGATGACATTCAGTGTGGTGCCATCGCCAAAAGTATCGGACACAGTTGTTGAGCCATACAATTGTACATTGTCTGTCCATCAATTGGTGGAGAATACAGACGAATCCTATTGTATTGACAATGAGGCATTGTACGATATTTGCTTTAGAACATTGAAACTCACAACGCCTACTTATGGTGATTTAAATCATCTCGTGAGCGCGACCTTGAGTGGTGTCACCACTTGTCTTAGATTTCCGGGTCAACTTAATGCCGATCTTAGAAAACTCGCCGTCAATATGGTGCCATTCCCTCGTCTTCACTTTTTCATTCCTGGCTTTGCTCCTCTCACGTCAAGGTAAATTCCCCCCCCCCCCCTTTTTTTTTGTTACACAGAAAAATTATTTTTTCTTTCTTTTATTTTTCTTTCAAATTGAGACAAAAAACTAGTTTTTCTTTCTTTTCTTCTTTTTCTTTCATTTTCATTAGTCTTTCTTTCTTTCTTTCTTTCAAATTGAGACAAAAAACGAATCAAAATTGTTGCGATGCAAAACAATTTTTATTCGTTTTTTTGTCTCAATTATTTGATATCCACAGAAAAACTATGCAATGAGGACAAAAAAAAATGATTAATTACGAGGAATTTTATTGTCATTCTTTTTCGCAATTTTTTTTTCTATTACTGTGCACATTTCGGAATTGGACAGCTACTATTGGGCAATTTTCCTGTAATGTTTAATCATATAGTTTGTCATTTTCTCTCATTATATTTTTATCCGCCTTTGAAATTGTTCGGTTGCATTTTTTTTTCTTTTAATCAAAAATTAATTTTAATCAAATCAATTAATTTTCGATTCAATAAAAATTATAATTCACTGAAAAATTAATTTTTAACAAAATGAGAAAGTATTTAATTCATTATTTTTATACGCCTTTGAAATAATTTTCGACTATATTTTTTTTAAGCAAAAATTAGTTTTAACTAAATCAGTTAATTTTTGATTTAATTAAAATTTAAATTGATTGAAAAATTAATTTTTATCATTTTGGGTAATTTATTTTTAATTAAAATTTCATTTGAATCAAAATATAAGAGTTTATTTAATTTTTGAGATTAAAATCAAAAATAAAATAGTAATATCAGACTTCGCAGTCGATAATTAATTTTAAAAAAGTAGTAAAAACGTAACTATCGAAAAATTAAACTTGACGAACGAAAAAAAAAAACGTTTTAGATACTTTACAAAACTGACGAAAATTCCATTCTATATTTTATTTTCCTGACTTCTTCCTAATTTTCATCAAAAAATATTTATTTCTTTCTTTTTTTTTAAAATAATTGAATTCCTAAAAAGCATTTTATTCATGAAAATAATTGAATTCTTGCGAACGATTTTATTAGAATTTTTTTAAATAATTGAATTTCCAAGAAGAAATTGATTACTTTTAAAAATAATTGAATTCCTAAAAAGCATTTTATTCATGAAAATAATTGAATTCTTGCGAACGATTTTATTGGAATTTTTTAAAATAATTGAATTTCCAAGAAGAAATTTATTACTTTAAAAAATACTTGAATTCTTGTGTTAAATACTGTTTTTTAATTGAATTTTTGGGAATAATTTTGTTATTTATTGACATAATTGAATTCTTTCGAAGAATTATTTATGAATAATTGAATTATTTCAAAAAAATTGAATTTAAATTGAATTTAAAAAAATTGATTTCTTTTGAACAATTTTATTAAAATATTTGACAATAATTGAATTCCTGTGAAAAATTCTAATATTTTTGTAAATAATTGAATTCTTCCAAGGAATTGAAAAAAAAAATTTTTTTTAAAAATTGATATTTTTCGAGGAATGGAATTAAATTTTTAAAAATAATTACATTTTTTTTATCAATTTCTGCAAAATTGTGTTAAAAATAATTGAAGTCCAGAGATGAATTTTTTTATTTATGAAAATATTTGAATTGTTGCTAAGAATTTTATTAAAACTTTCAAAAATAATTGAATTCCTGCGAGAAGAATTTTATTATTTTTGAAAATAATTGAATTATTGTGAAAAATTTTATTAAAGGCTTAAAAAAAATTGAATAATTTTGTTATTTATCGACATAATTGAATTCTTTCAAAGAATTATTTATGTAAATAATTGAATTCTTGAGAAGAATTTTATTAAAATCTAAAAGAATAATTGAATTATTTCAAAAAATTTAATTAAAATTGTATTTAAAATATAATTGATTTCTTTCGAGCAATTTTATTAAAATTAAAATATTTGAAAATCATTGAATTCTTGTGAAAAATTCTAATATTTTTGTAAATAATTCAATTCTTCTAAAGAATTTAAAAAAATATTTTTTTAAAATAATTGATATTTTTCGAGAAATAGAAATCAAATTTTTTAAAATAGTTACAATTTTTAAGGAATTCGATTAAAATTGTATTAAAAATGATTGAAATCCAGTGATGAATTTTATTATTTATGAAAATAATTAAATATTTGCTAAGAATTTTATTAAAAATTTTCGAAAATAATTGAATTCCTGGGAAGAATATTTTTTATTTTTGAAAATAATTGAATTATTGCGAAAAATTTTATTAAAATGTTTAAAAAGAATTGAATTTTTGTTAAAAATTTTGTTATTTTTTGAAAATAATTGAATTCTTCATAAGAATTTTATAAACATTCTTTTAAATAATTAATTTTTTCGAAACATAATAAATATTATGAAAATTTTTGTTTTAAATAATTGAATTTTTGTGGAAAACTTCATTTGTAAAAATAATTGAATTTTTCGATTAATTAATTTAAAATAGTATTAAAAATAATTAAAATTCTTCGATGAGTTTTATTATTTATGAAAATAATTGAATCCTTGCTTGGAATTTTATTAAATTTTTTAAAAAAATTGAATTTCTATATGAAAAATGTTATTATTAGTGAATGTAATTGAATTATTGTGAAGAATTGAATAATAATTTGTTAAATAATTGGTTTTTTTTCTAAATTTTGATGAAAATTTTATTCTAAATTAATTGAATGTTCCTGTGGAAATTTTATTATGTATTTATAAAAATAATTGAATTTTGGATGAATTTTATAAATTTTTTTTAAATAATTAAATTCTTTTGCGAAATTTTATGAAAATTGTAGATATTGAAAATAATTCAATTTCGAATATTCTTTGGAAATAATTGAAAATCGAATTTGATTATATTTTTTGAGAATGGTTTTTTGATTTCTAGTATTTGCGAATTGAAAGTAGTGGAAATTCTTAAAAAAAAAAAAAAAAAAAAATAGTAACTTTTAGTGGATGAAATCTAAAAAAGTACCAAAATAGTAGCATAACATATAAAAAAAAAGTAGTAAATGGTAGGTTTTAGTAGATGAGTTCGAAGCCTGTAATACAATAATAATTTAATTTTCAATGAAAATTTAATTTGAATAAAAATAAGAAAGTATTTAAATTTGTGCGACTAAAAATAAAATAATTTTGTGAATAATTTTCAGAGGATCGCAACAATATCGAGCGCTAACTGTTCCGGAATTGACGCAACAAATGTTCGATTCAAAAAATATGATGGCAGCTTGCGATCCAAGGCATGGAAAATATTTGACAGTGGCTGCCGTATTTCGCGGTCGAATGTCAATGAAAGAAGTTGACGAGCAAATGTTGAATATTCAAAATAAAAATAGTACATATTTCGTTGAATGGATTCCGAGTAATGTGAAGACTGCCGTTTGTGATATTCCACCGAGGGGATTGAAAATGTCCGCCACTTTTATTGGCAATTCGACGGCAATTCAGGAATTATTCAAAAGAGTCTCCGAACAATTCACCGCAATGTTTCGAAGAAAAGCTTTCTTGCATTGGTACACGGGAGAAGGTATCAACTTTTTTCCATTTCAGTTATTTATTTTTTCTAACAAAATTCTATTTAGCATTTTAACAAAATTTTCATTTTTTTTTTTTTTTTTAATAAAATTTGTCTTTTTTTAACAAAATTTTCTTTTTTTTTTTAATAAAATTTATCTTTTTTAAACAAAATTTGTCTTTTTTTAACAAAATTTTATTTATTAACTAATAAAAATAATAATATAATAAATAATAATAAACTAATGTTATTTATTAGTATTTATTATTATTTATCGATAACTTATCTAATAATAAATATTTACTATTTTTAATTTTTATTTTCTATTTTTTAATTTTTTTTTTCTATTTTTTGTTGATAATAAAAAAATAATCTAATAAAAAAATGGTAAATGAAATAAAAAATTAAAAAAACAGTAAATAAAGTAAAAAAATAAAACCATTTCGAACATGAAATTATTACAATTGAACTTGTGAAAATAATAGGAATGGACGAGATGGAATTCACCGAAGCGGAAAGTAACATGAACGATCTGGTTTCGGAGTACCAACAGTACCAAGAGGCAACTGCCGACGAAGAAGGTGAATTTGACGAAGAAGACGAGGGCGAAGCAGATGATAAATAAATCCCCCCCCCCCTTCCTTCGATCACCTTGTGATCGATAATTTTTAGTTTTAATTTTTTTGCAAAAAAAATATTTTTCCAGTTACAAAAAAAATTTATTTATTACTAAAAAAAAGAAAAACACGCACACTTCGTTTTATAGTTGAAAGAAAATTTCTACTTTTTTTTCTGTATAAAATTATAAAATTATCATTTTCAAAGTAATTATCAGTAGATTGAATAGAAAAGTCAGAAAAAATTAAATTCAATGAATTTATTTATTTTATCAATGAAATTCAAAGTGTGAAGAAAAAAATTATAATTAAGTTAATGTTTCATTGAAATATTATTGTTGATAATAAATTTTTATACATTCAAAGGTTGACTTTCATTGCTTTTTGGAATAGTAAATAATAATTAATAGTGAATAATAATTAATACAAAATAATTAAATAATTATTATTATAAATAAAAAAATTTATAAATTATAAATTTCTTTTATTATTTTTTAGTCCAATTCGAATTTTTTATTTTTTTAAGTCCATTTACCAAATAAATAAATAATTAATAATTTTTTTTATAAATTAAAGGGGCTGAGATTTAAATAAATAAATTATTATAAATTTTTCTTTCATAAATGTTTAGCTCCATTTTTGTAAATCTGCTTACATAAGAAAAAAAATAAATTTTAAATTTAGAATAAAAAAATATAAATTAATTAATAAAAAAAATAAATAAGAAAAAAGAAAAAAATAGTAATAATATTATTAATAATAATAAAAATAAAAATAGTAATAATAAAAATAGTATTTAATAGTACTAAAAATTAATAATAGACAATATAATTATTATACAGTTATTGTTTCAATATAAACGGGACTAAAATTAAAAAAATTAATAAAAATTAAGAAAATAAATAAAAATACTAAAAATGTATTCGTATTTTGTTTCTAAGTAATTAAAAAAATAACTCCCAATTATTGGAGAAATTAAAAATATTTTGTATAGCAATAAATCTCGACGATGTTGTTAATTAAGTGCGGTGAAGATTAAAAATCAGATTTAAGATTTTTTTCTCCTTTTTTTATTCTTTAAGATAACAGAAAAGAGGTATACATCCGTTTTTAATGATAATTGCAGATTTCTCTGATATTTCTCCTTGCTTCTGAGTCATTAAACTCGGGCGATCTAAGCTTGCATAACTTAAAGGCATTACATTAATTTCCCCTCGCGCACCACGATATTGTGCGTCATTCCTGTAAAGGCGATCTCTTTATTTGCATATACCTATAAAGATCTCATCTCTATATATTTTTTTTTTCTTTACAAAATGCGAAGAGGAGAAAAAAAAATTATATTGTTCATACTTTATTCAACACTGATCGTTTTATTACAAAAAAGAAAATGGAAATTATATAAACAAAAAAATTACCACACATAATTTATAACTAGCAACAATTCGCGCGCAGCTAACTTTTTACTCACTTTTTACAAAAAAAATTAGCAATTTTAAAAATTGTTAAAAATAATACAACGTAAAAATTTTTAAATCAAATTTATTTTCATAAAAATAAAATATGAATTGGAATATAGTTTTAATATATTATTATTACTATAATAATCGTATATTCTGACACAGGGAATTCGGGAAAAAGTGAGGGATTTTTATTAAAAGTACTGAAAAAACGTAAATTTTTAGAATTCATAGGAAAATTCTGGATTTTTTTGTGTCTTTTTTCTTTGCCTTATAAACTATATGAAATTACCAAAAATTATAATACAAAACCTTTTTTTCAATTTCTGGCAATAATTTCTTTTTAAATAACTTAAATCTTGAACAATTCATAAATTAATGACCTATAAATTATTAAATGAATGATTTTAGTCAAATATTTCAAAATTAATTCAATTTTAAAAGAGTTGCGTTTACAATTTTCGTAAATAATTGAACTTCAAAAGGTTTTAATTTGAAATTTTATAAAATTTCAATTTTGAATGAATTTATAACAAGAAATTTTAAAGAACTTATATTTTTGAAAAATTTTAATAATTCAAAATCTTCTCAAATTAGTTAAATTTTGTCAAAATATATTTAATTAATAAATAAAAATAATCAATTTTAGAGAAATTTTAAGTTAAAAAGACTAAAAAAAATTGAATTTTAAAAAGTTAGAAAATATTGCAGAAATTTAATTATTTTCAAAAGTAATAAAATTCGTATCACAAAATCCAATTATGTTCAAAATTTACAAGAAAATCTGGACAAAATCCCAATTATTATCTTTATAAATAAAAAAATTCTTCTTCAAAATTCAATTATTTTCAAAAATTTTCATCATTTAAATTATTTTTAATATCTACTATTTTAATAAAATTACCCGAAAGAATTCAATTATTTAAAAAAAATTTTAATAAAATTGTACGCAAACATTTAATTATTTTCATAAATAATAAAAATTTCACAGGAATTCAATTATTTACAAATTTTTTTTATAAATTTCTTAGCAATAATTCAATTATTTTCAGGAAGAATAAAAATTTCACAGGAATTCAATTATTTTCGTAAATAATAAATTTCTTCTCGATAATTCAATTATTTTCATAAATAATAAAAATGATCGCAGAATTTCAATTATTTTTAAATAGAATTTTAATCAAATTCCTTGAAAAATGTAACAATTCTTAAAAAATTTTTTTAAAATTCGTCGAAAGAATTCAATTATTTTCAAAAATTTTCCTCAATTCAATGATTTTCAATAACAACTTTTTTAAAAAAAATTTTCAAAAGAATTCAATTATTATTTTAAATATTATAATAAAATTCTACGTAAACATTTATTTATTATTTTCATAAATAATAAAAATTCTACAGGAATTCAATATTTACCATTTTTTTTAGAAATATCATCGCAATAATTCAATTATTTACAAATTTTTTTATAAATTTCTTCGCAATAATTCAATTATTTTCATAAATAATAAAAATTTCCCAAGAATTCAATTATTTACAATTTCTTTCTATAAAGTTCTTAACAATAATTCCATTATTTTCATAAATAATAAAACTATTTTTAAAAATTTTTATAAAAATTCGTCAAAAGAAATAAATTATTTAAAAATTTGGTAATAAAATTCTTTATAAGAATTAAATTTTTAGAAACAATCAATTATTCAATAAATAATTTACTTTTGTATTTGAATAATTGAATTCTCGTAAAATTTTCTCATAAAAATTGATTTAAAAATGTATTTTAGTTAAAATTTTAGATAATAATTGAATATGGAAATAATTTTAAAGAAGTTACAATAACAATATTCTTATAATATAAAATAATTATTTTATCTTTCGAACATTTTTAATTATTAAAAAAAATGAAGAAATCGATCACTCCGAGTCTTCGACTCGGAGCAATATTTTCAAACAATATTTTCAATATTTTCAAACAATATTTTTAAAGTTATTTAATTTCAAAAAGGTTTGAATTTGAAATTTTTGAAAATCTTAATTCCTATGAAAAAAATAATAATAATTAAATATTTATTTAAAAAAAAGAAGTTATTGATGTTTTTGAATAATTTTGCAATTAAAGAAATTCGTAAATAAATGTAACAGTACATTTTTTTGATGAAAATTTTTTTCTTTATTTTCTAAAAATACAAAAATTATCATTTTCAGTAAAAATTTGTAATTGACAAGTGGAATTTATAAACATTTTTTTCCTTTATTTTTAAAAAACTTTGAATTTTATTAAAACAATTTTAATTAAGAAATAGAAATTATGTAAATTATTTCCTTATATGAAAATTGAAAATTTTCTACAAAAATATTAAGAAACGGGAAAATGTAATGTTTTTTTTCCAAAATAAAAAAATGAGTTTGTGAACAATATTGTTTGTATTGAGAAATAAAAAAATTTTTTTTTTTTAAATTTTTAATTTCTAATATTATTTGATTATAAATCATTTGTCAAACAATATTTTTTAAAGAAAAAAAAAAAGAAAAGCATACACAAAAACTAACTTCAAACTGCGAACAGAATAAATGAAAGAATATGATGATGATTAATATAGTTTATTAATAATTAATGTTATACTAAAAAAATAATTCAAAAAAATTATTCTTTGAAGAATTTTTTTTACTTACAATTAGAAAAATTAGATAAGAAAAATTTTACTTTAATTAATTAATTTTTTTATTATAATATAACAATTTTAATTAAATAAAAAAAAAATTAATTTTTCCACATTTTGAAGTGACAGGAGGTTTTGAAATTTAAAAAAATAAACTGGGGATTATTTCGTTTTTTTTGGTTCAGTTTTCTCTAAATTTGAATTGCTTAGTAAAAATTTACTGTTTACTATAATTTAAATCAGTGATTGACTTTTTGTTATTGAATTAGTAAATTTTAACTGATAAATAATAATTTCAACTAATTTATTTTTAAAATTTTCTACTAATTTTCTAGTAGTAAATTAGTAAATTAGTAGTAAATAATAGTAAAATTTTTTGCTAATTAGTAAATTTTATCAATTCAAAAGCAATAAGTCTAACTGATTAAAATTAGTAAATACTTTTTACTGATTCAAATTTTAGAAATATTTAGAGATTCTGCTTGCAAACGGAATCTCAATGAGTATAATTATCATAAGGATTAAATTAATTTTCAAACATTGAGATATATAACTCGTGTTTCTTCATTTTATAATAATAAATCTAATTACTGATTCCCACGCGAGAACATCTGATCGCCTCGTTATGAGGAATCCCGTTGTCCTTAGTTTGCTTAATCGTGTAAAAATATAAATATAAACACAATATCTCGGATACATCACGTTGAGATCGATCATTCAGTTTTTAAACTATGCTTTATTAGATGTAAGAAGAGACACGATAATTATACACACCGGGATTAATTTTATCAATATTATACCTATACTTACGACAAAAAAACCATTCTTCATTCAATTACTAATTAACTTTTTTTAAAAAAAAGTTTTCACTATCTTTTATCACTTTTAATTTATTCACTTACTTTTATAACTTTTTTTCCTATTTTTTCTATAACTTTTTTTAAGTTTTTCTATTTTTTATTTATTTTTTGTTGTTTTACTTATTCATTCAATTCTTTTCTCATTTTCTTTCATTTTGTACCTAAT